TTATTCTCAAATTTCTCTATACCTTACTTTGAATAACTTCCTCTTCCTTTTGAAAAGAAGAGATGACTGATAGCAGTTTTTTCCAAACTTCCGAGAAAAGTATACAGTCAGATGGTACAATTTCTTTGTCACTTTAACATAGAAAGAGTGATCTCATGCATGGTACTTAGAATTAAGCTTTGTTGCCAACATCTCCATTGATAGAAGAAGATGCGTAAAAAAATGATTAGGTGGCATTGTTCACTGTTTTTTAAACTGTCCAATAAACTTTCACCACATAGACATTCTATCATCCAAGATATCATTCAAGTTGTTAATGCAGGATGATTGTGGTAGTTAACTATGTATTTCTCTTTGATTTGTCATCTAACTAGAAAGGAGAACATTATTACTTATGTATATGCATGATATGATGTAAAGCTGAACAGGCAAAGGTTTACAAAGGGCTCACAGCTTGTATTAAGCCCATGACCATATATTGTGTTAATCAAACCTAAGCCCAGTTATATATTAACCAATAAAATAAAGGGATATTATTAAAAATACTGTATAACTTTTTTTATATAACGTGTTTACACATTTTCTTTCGCTTTTTGTAACATGTGTTACATTTTATAACACTTGTAACAAGCTAATTTATGCAGCCACCATGGCAACACTTTCGACGACATTATCATAATCAGTGTTATAAAAAGTGTAAAACATGATTAGACGTGGAAGCGAACCTTCAAGCTTTACGAGGTTAGGCGAGGCGAGGCTTACGAGTAAAAAAAAAAAAGTTTTCTTATTTTTAATATTATTTTAAAATTTTAAAATATTTTAAATCATTTAATAATTAAAATAATATGTATCAAACCTCTAAAATTATAAAATACTATATTTACTTAAAAATTTCTACCATTAGTTAATTATACAATTTTCAAGTTTACAAAATGAAAAAAATAAGAATATTTTTTGTAGTTTCGATTTTCAACTAGACAAGTCGTATTTAATAGATTCGTAGGAACTTCATACATGCTTTTGAAATTTGCAACAAAATAATGAGTCTTGAGATCATAATTACATGATGTAGATATCATCATAACTTAAATCTTATTTAACTATTTAGATAAAATTATTTTTAACTTTTGTACATTTGAAGTGCATTTTAAAACACTGCTTATATAACACTTGTATCACACAGTGTTTCACTACCAATATCATCGTCGTGACCTTCACTGCCATCGCCGCCACCAATTCGTCGATAATATCACACAAAGTAGAATACATGTAACATATCACACTGTCACCATGGCCCATTCATGTTGGAATTAATGATCTACTATATACGATTTAAATGTGTAAATTGGAAGGGACTCCAATGGATGTGATTACTATACGTGATTTTCAATTGCAGTGGATGCATATCAAAGAGATGTGTTGTTTCAAAGTAGATGTGACCATTCGAAAATGTGCATGATAAAAAGTCATGACCTTTTGATGAGATGAAATATACACCATTAGATATGAAATTGAGCGATCTAATCATTAAAATTAATTTGTGCCAAATGCTACTGCCATTCAAAGAAACACATAAAAATCTATAAATAGGGCCCTTTTAATTCGAATTTTCTTGACTTCAAATTAATTCCAAATAATTGATATCTAATTCTTTTTTTTTTTCCCCAAATACTGTCAAATAATCTCCATATTATTTTAAAGTTTCATGTTTGATATTCAACTTTCGATATCTTCTTGTCTACAAGAGTATGGTCAATCTTCCATTCGTCCGACAAAATTAATATTGTGTTACATTAATTTTGGAAGAAGCGTTATATCTTGGGAGATAAATGTTTATTTGATCACATTAGCACTAGTATAGGGAACGAAATCTATCTTAAGGAGATTTGCATTCTCATACCTCACTTCATTTAATCTCTTTCTAATTTCTACATTTCAGTAAGTCGATATTTGTAAGCGTATCTTGATTTCGCTTAGTCAAAATTCTATTATATATTTTGTATGTGTAAGTCGCAATTTTATCTTCTTTCCATTCACGTATTTTTGGCTAACAAAATATAATTTATGCACCAATCTATCCTACAATCTGAAGACAGATAATTTATTATTGTGTTTTTTATGTTGTCTCTTTACTGCATGAATGTACATTAAAATTTCATTTAGACTTGGTATTTGAATACAGTATCATGTTTATGAAGTTGATCCTAACTGTTGATTTCTAATATCTTGTC